CACTTTTATTTGGGCTGAAACAAATCACGGATAAAGTGCTGCTCGTAGACGCTGTGGGCTTTCCGAGCTGAAGTTTCACATTTCGATATGCCGACATAATGATCGATTCCTGTGCTTAAGCTCTCTCGATTGTGCCAAAACATGCTTTTATTTTAATCACGGCATAAGCTGATGGGACAGGGCGTGTAGAAGGGCTTGAAATGTTGTAGTCTCTGCAAACAGAAGACTTTCTCTGCAATGAGGAAACCACCAGTGAATTGCCTCTCCCTCCAACAACGTGCCACAAGGACGGCATGGTTTTCTCCATTTGGGGAGTATGGAGCAAGGTACATTTCCGACAAAGTAGTGAACACTTCGAGTACATGCCCTTCCCTACCGCCGTAGGACATTTCTGGCCGCCATAACCTTACGGACTAATCCCTTAGCATTTCATCGGCTGCGAAATTGCGCCTTTTTACCAGCTGTGGAGGTACTGTGTTCAAGTTAGATTTCAGGCGGCCCTGTGTCACCTCACCAGGCGTTGTGCTACCGTTGACTTCAACGGTGAGAAAGATATTTTCGGTGTGTTACCAAAGGAGCGCAGGTTATTGAGGTACCAAGTGGCTTGATTGGAAGTAGGCAATTGTTGCAGCGAAGCCTGGAATCCAATTGCATTTGCTGCTAGTGAATCAGAAGGGAATAGCTGCATGAAATCATGCGCTGGTACTAATTCAAGCGCTCTGTAAAGGTCTCCGTACACAAACACTGAACCTCAGGCTCAATATCAACTTCGTTGCAAATTATTGAGTGTCCATGAAGTAATTGTGTCTTGACCCTGCCCGTCTTCCTCATTATTCTCGACATGGGTGGTGAAGTGTAGTTAGGGTGCGCCCAGCTGGGCCCTATGAGCGATTTGAGTATTCAGAGCTAGGTGCAGGTAATGTCTGGTGCACGTGCGCAGAACACTGTACATCCTTGTACCGAGCTAAATGTACTGTGCAACAAATATGACAAACAAACGGGAATGCTAACTAGTCACTTTATCCTACCTCTTAGTTAAATACTACTACAGCTGAAGGTGTTCGAGCGTACATCCGTAGAACACTCCACTCTGTCTTTCCCTGCCGTACATGCGCAAGTGACCAACGCTGCGACCGGCAGCACAGTAGCACATGTGTAAGTTCCTGGCCGTATAGGCCACAGCAAATACTTCGTTTTGCTGTAAAGGCTATTTGGTATAAGGAGAGTGGTGTGAGCTTGTCTCATGGCACTGGCTTCACTCAAGCGTGCCAACACCAAATTTGGCTTATTGTAGAAAGCTCCTTTCCTCATCGATAATGACCCATTAGAGTGGCTGAGGTAGCGAGCCCAGCCTTCTGTCACAGGCGAGCAGCAGAGCCGTCAGCTGTTTCGTGGTTCTACAATGAAGGCAGTAAGCTCCTGCACGGGCTAGCGTTTAGGCCATTCAAGTAAGCGCTTAGACGACGGGACGGCTCAACGCGTTTGAAGCGAATCAGAGGATACTGGTGCGACGCAGCAGGGCCGCCAGATGGCGCATTGTCTTTTCTGCTGATGCTTCAAGGGTCCACGTACGCCTGTTGCGGAGCAGCATGCGGATCTGTATTATGAGATTCTGCCTTTAATCTGCTGAAAAGCAAGGTTAGCAACTAAAACTAGCACAAAAATGACCATCGCCTCATCCGACTTCGATGGAGTGGAAAGAGTAGAGGCCTAGACACAACAGAAGCTTGCAGCCTTCGGGGGGCTGCCAGCCGACATGCCCGCAAGAAATCAATGAAGCCACAAAATTAAAACTTAAAATCATACCCTTTTGGCAGTTTCTTGCTGTAGATATATAGAGGCTACGGGAATATCGGGAAACGCTAAGCGAAGCCCCTTGCCTTTCTGGCCTTGGCCTCCGGGGCTGAGGCTAAGCCCGTAGAAACCAGGAACGCTCAACGGTGAACGTTACGCCATAAAAGCCTTCCATATTCAGCAGCGCCAAGCTGCATGGCTGATGGCGTGGTTCCCAAAGTTCGAGGTTCAGGACGTATAGTTTGTCTGTATCCATCGATGCTCCGGATACGAAGTTCCTGGTCGGGCCCACACCTCTAAGGCTTCAGGGGTGCAGAGCCGCGGGTTCGGCATTCACGGCTTGTGATAGAATCCCTTCAGCAGTAGTAACTCTAAAAGAAGTAATGGCTCTCCTGCTTGCGTCACTGAGAGCACAGTCTGTATGACCCATGCTAGCTGCAGTAGCTGGGAAGCTCAGTTCGTCTCATTTCCACACGCTTTAAGAGCTTCTGTTTCAAGAACAGAAGCAGGAAATTCCGAGGCTGCGGACGAGACGGCAGAACAGGTGGCTGCCACTGCAACCACAGCCATGCTACGCCCCATCAATTCTTCGTTAAATTCCCTGTATGCGAAACAACGGCAGAAGGAGCATGCAGGAGAGCAACAGGAGCTGCTGCCGCTGCAAGAGCAGCGGCAGGATCAAGGACAGCAACACAACGGCTCTGGTCTCAAGGCATCTCTGCAGGGATTGCAGCAGCAGCTGCAGGAGCAGCAGCGCTGGCACCGCATTAAGGCCAAGGAATTGCAACAGCAGCAGCAGCAGCAACAGCAGCAACAGCAACAGCAACATCGGAAGCAGCGAGTCTCCTATCAGTCAGAGACAAGTACGCTGGCTGCTGTGGCTGCAGTCCCTGTGGCAGAAGCGACTGCAGGAGTGTCCCCTAGGTCAGAGGCAGCCTCAGCGCAGCCTGATGCTGCTGGTGGCATTGCTAAAGCATTAGACGCTTCAGAGGCAGATGTAGACAGCCGCAAGGCTCTACATCGTCGTCGCGCTGCCCGCCGCTCAGCAATCGCGGCAGCTGCAGCTGCCGCGGCTACAGCTGCCGTAGCTGCAAGAACGGAAGTCGAGTACTCTCCGTCTTCGCTTCATGCCCGTGCCGGTGGCTCAGGCTCTGCAGAAGCTGCGACAGTAGCAATCGCTTCAAGCAAAATACCGACTGTGCGCCTGGAGAAACTTCGGGGAGTTCCCTCGACTCTACGGGAGGGCATCGAGAAGCACGTCATCTTGCCCTTCCTTGCGAACCACCTTCTTGAAGGCTACCAGCCGCCGGAGCCACCCCAACAGCAGCCTAGGCCAACAGAGGAGGCTGACGGGCTGAATAAGGGGCATTACGACGAGGGGAGGAATTTAGACACCCCGGATGAAAGCCTCTCTGGCCACAAAAGCAAGGGGCCCAGCACGAAGAGCAGCGACAAAAGCGGCAATGGCCTTGTCTGTTCGCGCGGGGTGTTGCTATGCGGTCCGCCAGGCGTGGGCAAGTCGCACGTTGCTGCTGCTATAGTGGGTACCCTTGCGGATCGCCTTCAGCAGCAGCAGCAGCAGCAGCAGCGTGCTACGCAGGCAGAAGGACAGCGGACGCTCACAGACAGCTGCACAAGCGACAACAGCGTTGAGGAGGAGGAGGGCAGCAGCAGTAGAGGTGACCAAGGCGGTCCGGTGCCGTTGCGCTACTACTCGCTTTCTGTTGCTGCCTGCACCTCACCAGGGGGTGAAGAGTTGCTGGAACATACACTCATGGCCTGCAGGGATGCAGCCCCTTCGGTTTTGCTACTGGACAGGGTGGACTGCTTCGGCAGCAGTACGGCAAGCGTTGGTGAGGGCACCAGTGGCAGCAACAGCAGCGGCAGCAGCAGCAGTGGCAACAGTGCAGCCCTCAGCAGTCTTCTGGATGCGCTCTGCAGGTCACTCGACGCGCTTAGAGGCACGCAGGTTTTTGGTGAGCGAAGCGCTTTACAAAATCCTGGGCCAGTCGATACAGTGATGCTGCATTCTTCTGTAGGGAGTCTTTAGGGTGTTTGTGTTGGTGTTTCCAGTCATTGGCATGGCGAGCAACCCCGCCGCTGTCTGTCTCGCTCTGCGACGTAGTGGCCGATTCGACAGGGAGCTGCAGCTGCCGCCTCCCAATGTAGACGAGAGACTGGAGATCCTTCAGGTCATATTCGTAGCACGAGACTTCATTCCCGGGCCGTCTATCCTCGAAATCGCTCCCCTGCTACGCATGTGCATGCGTGTATCCCTGTGCCACCGCTGTAAATTGCAATTTGAAGCAAAGGCAGCGTGCGGGCTGGCGTGTGCGACGTGCAGGCCATAGCGGCCTCCCTTCCCGTCAAGGTGAGAGTCGGATTCGAGAGGATAGCTGAGGAAACGGCTGGGGCTGTTGCCGCAGATTTGCACGCGCTGCTTCACTCGGCACTCCTCGCAGCCCTCTATCGCAAACAGCGGCAGGATGCAGATTGCATGGACTCCTCCGCAATGATGGACGCAGCAGACGCGAAGGTCCCTGCACTCAGTGATGTTTGTCTTGTGGAGGAGGATCTGTGCGTCGCTTTGCGAGAGCTTCGGCTCACACTCGAAAAGGAAACAGGACACCTTGCAAAGGGGGCCCTTACTACTGAGTGGAAGGACGTTGGTGGACTCTACAAGGCAAAACGGCAAATCGAAGACAAAATAATCTTTCCCGTACTCTTCCCGCAGCTCTACAAACAAGTTGGTGCGTCGAGGGACGAAGTGGAGACGCCATGTTTTCTGACAAAAGACTGTTTCGGGTAGAAGATCTAGGATTGTGCGTCTTTTTGTTCTGTGCAGGTCTGCGTCGGCCGAGCGGCGTATTGTTGTATGGGCCTCCGGGATGTGGGAAGACGCTCCTAGCGCGCGCCCTTGCAAAGACTTGCAACGCTCACTTTATATCCGTAAAAGGTACTCTGCAGACAAGCGTTGGAAGAGGCTACGCTTGTCCTCGCCCCAGTGCAAAGGGTACCGAGTTGTGTTGCTCTTGCTCTTGTTTTGAGCTAGAAGCTTCTCTGTTTGTTGGAATTGTATCTCTGTGCCGCTCTGATCTTCGTGCTTGTGCAGGCCCCGAGTTGCTCAGTAAGTTTGTTGGGGAGAGTGAAGCATCTCTGCGCCGTCTCTTTAGGAAAGCCGCTGCCTTCGAGCCCACTGTCATTTTCTTCGATGAGATTGACGCCCTTTGTGGAAGCAGAGGAGGAGCGCTAAACCAGCAGCACGCCGAGAATGAAGCGGAGTATTCTCATTGGCGTCGGGTACAGCAGGAGGCGCAGGCTGAGGAGCGAGGCGAGGGGAGCGAGAAGGGCGAGAAGGAAGAGACGGGCGAGGGGGACAGAGCAGAGCTGACAGAGAGGCCTAAAACTGAGGGGCAGCTCAAGAAGCGGAGGCGCGTGGGCTTTCAGCCTCTTCGCTATGGCAACAGCCAAAACAGCAGCAACAAAGTGGAGGAAAGGCTGATTGCGCAGATGCTCACAGAGCTGGATGGTTTAACAGCGAGAGGACAGGTCTTTGTCGTTGCAGCGACGAACCGCCCAGACGCCATTGACGCCGCTCTTGTGCGCCCTGGACGCCTAGAGGTTCAAGTATACGTGCACCTCCCTGATTTAAAGGACCGGCAGCAAATTTTCAAGAGCGGACTAAGGTGTATGCTCAGGGATATCGTGCAGCAGCAGCAAGGGCAGCAGCAGCCGCACGTGCAGCAGCAGGAACTGCTAGAGGTCGTAGAATCAAAAATCCAACAGTTCGACCTCCTCCGCCTCGCAGAGGAAGCGCACGGGTAGGCACAGACCGTAAGAGGCGCCCAATGGGGCCCATAAGCGCCTGGAGCACCCTAGACGTTTAAATCTGCCGAGGCCTGGGTGTCGCACCCTTGAGTGTATGTGTTGTGCGTTTCCAGTCTAGGCGTTTTGAAGTGTGTGGGTGATCGTGTTCCCAGGTTTAGTGGTGCAGATATCGATGCAGCCCTCAGGAGTGCAGCCGCCGCCTTGTTGGAGAACCAACGAGAAGGCTTTATCGAGGCCTTGAAAATCCAAGTGAAGCAGCATTTTCAGAAACAACTTGACAGCGGCAGCAGTACTTTTGCCGCGAAGGCTGCTCTCGAAGAAGTGGATGCCCTTTCCGCTTACGAGCTGTATGCGTTATGTGGGCGCTTGGGAGGGTCCCTACGAAGTGCAGCAGCAGCTGCTGCTGCTGCGGGGGGCAGTGCAGCGGCAGCCGCAGGGGCCCTGCAGCTGACACAGCAGCAGCTGCTGCACGCCATCCGGACCACGAGGCCTTCAGTCACCCCCAAACAAGTAGCTTTCTATGAGGCGTATGCAGAAAGCGTTGGCTGCGGCATCTAAGTATCTTAGTGTTAGGCCAAGAACCGTAGTTTTTTAATATTTCGAAACGTTCTTCTCTTCTACAAAGTATCTGTCCTTTCTCCTAACTCTTGTGTGCCATTTCGCGACGTAGATCATATACCGGAGACCGCCAGTGGGGCTGCCTCTCTAAAGTTTGGGTTGTATCATGTCAAAGATCCACCCACGGTATATAAGTGGACTGCAAAGCAATTCCCAACTGTCCCGCTGTTTCTGGTGGGAACAAAGACTTGTAAATACTGCATCGATGGGGGCACTGGCCCCTCGGCACTCTCCCCTCTCCTTGCTACGGGCCGAATCCTCAGTCCCGTATGTGACCTTTCACTCTGAGCCATAGATATATACGATTCACGAAGCACCTATGAAAGTCACGGAAAAGACTCATAACAGGGGGCTGGGGGCGACCCAGAGACCACACGGGACACCCCAAATCTCCGAGGTGTCAGCACACACGCAATAAGAAGGAGGACAGGTCTGGTGGATATGGGAAGGAAAGCCATGCGGCACAAGCAAAGGAGCTCTCACCATCCCAATTTGATCTCCACCTCTGCGTTAGCAAAAACGCTTTCCTTAGCGGAAGCGAGCAGCACCCCTTGGTAAAGCCATCTAAACGTCCCTCTACGTCTGGGCGTGGCGTCGCTGCATTCATGTTTAAGATCCCTGCGGGTGAAGTTGCATCCCTTCATCTCAATAAACTGGGGAAAGGGCCCCTATGAGATTCCAGGACTCACAGAGCCGTGTTCTCACTGATTCTAGTCACCTCTGTGAATCCAACTAAATATTCCCAGAGCAGAGGGGGCAGACGAATTCTTTCCTGGAGGGCCGACAGTGTCTCTCAACAGACCCAACCTTCCTCCAGATTCCGCATGTTCTTCTTCTTCCTTTTCACCCTTCTTAGAGTCGAAGCTTCACGCTCCTAGACCGCGTTCTGTACGGCGAGGGCATTGCCGTCGCGGCCGGCCTTACGGGTCGCTTTCCTAGCTGAGCAGCGCGAGACAATACGACTAACATTGTTACCAGAACGGCTGCACCGATGAGGTAGCGCCGCAATTTTTTGCGCCCCCTGATTGCAGCAATGGCCCTTTCCGTAAAATCGTCTCCCCGTGTCTCCATGTTCGTTGCTGATGCGCGCAGCATCTGGAAATTCTCGTACGCTGACTTTTCCGGCAAAGGATGATATAAATAGTCCATGTTTGCATAAGGCACACTTTCTTTTGACTGTGGTGAAAAGTACTGCTGATGTTGCTCAGTGCCCACCGCCAAGCATACCAGGGCGAGTGCCGCAACCAGTAGAACTAGAGCCGCAGCGCGTGCGCCGCTTCTCATTTCAATGCCTTTCACCATTGTTACCACGAAAAGCGACGAGATGCTGTCTGTTGTTTGGCCGATCGCGTGAGCGACCGTTCTGGTCCAGCGGCCAAAAAGCACTGCGCAATGCTGCTGTTGCAGAGGCTCGAATGGGAAGCCTCCTGAGATGGTCTCCCTAAACTGTTATAAAAAGCGGAAAATTATCGCTGTGGAACAGAATGGGGGTTTGGATAGTCACTGCGCGGTGGGGAGGAGCAACAGGGCGAAGTGTTGCGGCAGAAGCACGGCCAAGAAGACTTTCGTAAAATTTAATGCATCCTTCAGACTTAGCAGGAGGCACTAAATTTCTACAGATAAGGTTGGTCTCTACGGGTGTACATTTCCCGCATTCACCCTTGCCACGCTGGTGACGCTAACGCACGGGGGATGAGGAGAAGGGTCCACGGTAGCAGTTCGGAGGGGTCGACCCATGCGGCTGCTTGAGACGATTCTCCTTTTACTGGCGATTCTATGCATTTGAAAATTTACGGTGTGCTATTCTCTGGAGGCATGCTCATTTATGAGAGCGCATTTGGGCTCTTAGTGGAGGCACTAACTTCAAAACCTGGTAAGGCAAGAGCCACCCCTCATTCACACTGTGGCCGAGTTGCTCGGCAATAATGGCTGCTCGACGTGGCTAATTAATGCTCCTCCTTTGTTTTTTGATGGTTTAAGCGCCTGATACCCTCTTGAAGGCACACGATTCTTGGCGTTTCTAGAAGAAGTGCAGTGCCATGCCTCCAAACACCAAGGCAGAGGGCGAGCAATCGGTATGCATTCCACCAAGTGCATCATCGCCTTGGCCACGGTGTGTTTGCATATGCTTCACCTTTAGAGTAGGCGACTAAAGTATGTAGGATCGCCTTCGTGGCGCCGGGCAAAGGGCTGATGCTCTGTTTGCAACACTGGTATGCATCATGTCCTGCGAACAGCTTCTCCGCGTGCAGCCGGTTTAACTGCATGCTGGTAAATTGTGCAAGTTGGCGTTTGCTTAGTCATAGCCGTTTAGCTCACGGTGTATGTGCTCGTTGGCGCACCGATTTCTGTGTTCCGTGTGCAACAAAGTGCACCATACCTGCCCTTCTCCCCCCACGTTGAGCATTCTTAAAAGGCCTCTCTCCTTCCCCTGGCCGCAGTCCTCCCAGTTCCGGGCATGAGGGTAGACACATGTAGGGTGGGCGCAGCTGCTGCCTGTAAACGCTCCATACATTCCCAGCTAACTGCACATGCCATTTAGCGCGGAGGCACTCAGCGTCGCGTGTTCTTGCATTGAGCTAACATTATTCTGCAGAAAGTACAGTGTACGAACAGACTAGTGTAATACTCATTTCGTTAGTAATTCGTGGTGTAATATGACCAGACTGTTCAAGTCTAGCTTAGCCCACTGCACATTCCCTGATGGGAAAACATACCCTTATGTTGCGTACCCGTGCGTCAAGACGAACTGCATGCAGGGCATTTGAAGAATACTGTCCTAATACCACTCCTCAGGCTGGCAGAGAGGCGAGAACAGCGCGATTCAGAAAGTAAAAGTGTGCATCTACTGCTACAATGAGTTCGACTAAACGAAAGAGTAAGCCGCACGCACTAGCGAACAATGAAGAAGGGAGCATTCAACGACCACGGCAGTACGAAGGCTCTGTCTTCGGACCGCTGACTTGTGTGAGCCTCATACTTCGGCAAAAACACAAACGAGTAAAACTAAATAGCACAACGACAATAAATAACCACACTAGCACAGCGTGCCTCCACCCTTCATACAGCAAAGGCATACAGGCAAATACTGTCGAAGCATGCAGTGTAGTCAAATTCAAAGTCTTAAAAGAGAATGGAAGACTGTAGAGGCAATACACATGAGGGTGCCTGTGCACATAGCTGAGTCTAGAGAAGACCACAACAATAGTAGCCAGGAACTGTTCAAGCAATACCCGTAGGCGACTTTCCGCCTACCAAGCGGATGCTCTACTAACTACGCTAAGGCTCGACGACGCCAATGCCCTCTTAGCTCGATCGGTAGAGCATACGCTCAGTGAGTGGAGTGTTGCCGATTTGAATCCTGCAGGGGGCTACCCCAGAGGAAGGTTGTAAGCTTAGGCACAGTATGCGCCGGAGAGTGGCAAGTACAAAGCACCACGAGGACGCTTGCCTATGGAGACTAGCCCTAAAAACCAAGAGAGCCGCAAATGGTCCCGCAGGCAAAGAATCGCACAACTGTTCCTCCATGAACCGCTGAGGTTGACGTCTTCCATCAGGTTTGCTTACAACCCCCTTTGTGCTTCCTCGGTAATCAGTAGTAGTAG